CTCAGTGATCCGTGAGTGATCCGTGTGGGTCCCTTCAAACTCAGCATATTCTATGATTCTTCTACAGTATTTGTCTTCAGAATGCTAAGAATAATTGGTGTTTGGAGATGGGCATGGGCTGTCAAGATGTATCCAAGCAGGCTCTGAATGCAAAAAGAGTGAAGCCATTCAGGAATTGTCAGTCATAAGCAAGGTAACGAGATTGGGTAATCGCTAAGTTTTAAACTGCCTTCTGTGTCAAAGGGATGCTTGTTAAGGGTGAAAAACTAGCATTCCTCCATTTCTTGGTTGTCAAATTGTTTGGAATGGAGTCAGGGCTTCAGGGAGAGGAATGTGGTGAGATTTCTGTGAGATACTGACGATTACCACATGAGGGGAAAATGGCTGCTTTTGCTATTTCCTTTATAAAAAATGTTAAGTCATAATTTTAAACTTTATTAAACACTCTGGTCCGTACTAGCTGAGTAATTAGTGGCTATTTAGAAGACCAAGTGTGTTGCTCTACCATTTAACTATTTTCGTTATGTGGAAGACTGCATGTTATCTGGTTGATCCCTGTATTGTATTCTGGGCATAGTTCCCTTCATCATATTTTAATGATGCCAGACCATCTAAGTGCAGTTGAGATTATTATTAGCACAGTAGTCTTAGTCAATACAGCTATTCATATGTTAAAGAAAGGTGTGAATAATAGTGATTTTTTTTTTTAATACCTTATTACTGATATGAGTCCATACAAGTTTTGTCAGCTTAATTTTCAACTGTTTCTTGAGTGAAGCGGAATAATTACCAAAAAAATCGTAATTCTATGGTGCTATAAAACCTGCTGCGTGTGTCCTGAAGGTGAGGTTGAAGTATATAGCCATTAAGTAAGATCTCAGTGTGTAGACTGCAAAGCCATGGATTTGAAAAGTAAAATTGTGTATTGCCACATTTCATTGTTCCAGTAATTTGTTTGTCATGCTGTTTGCAATGATTTCAGTTGATGAAAAAGGGAGGAAGTATAAATACTGAAACAGCAGGCAGGGAAACTGTCTATAAGAACTTTAGATCTCGTTGTGTATCCTATTAAACTTCCTCCATAGTACTGGCATACTTTGTAAATTACCTAGCAGTATTTTCTATTTATGACTCAAATTACACACACAGGTTGTTTTTTAGGTATGTGGCTTCTTTCTTTTGCATTCAGTCTGATGTTGAAACAAAATTATATGCTTGGTAAAGGACGGCTGAACCAAGTAACTGCTGCAGTGCCCTAGATAATAATAGGTTACTAAACAAGTGCTACAGTAGTCTGTTGTGCTTTGTGCAGTTGTGCTGAGTTAGTACTCATATCTTAACTTTGCATTAAAGCTTTATTTCTGTTTATTGCCTGATGTTATATGTAAAAAATGATGTTGATGGGAGATGCGCTGTAGGCATATTGGTTTTCATAAGAGCTCAGGTTGTTTCAGCCTCTGCCCTATTTGTAACAGCATCTGTGCATCTATTCATTGAACTCTTATGAGTTCCTCACTGTGTGAGAATTAACTTTCAGTTGCTTTTGTGTGCACTTAATTATTTTAAGGCCATTTTTAAGCATCTGGGAGCTCTACAAAACAAGTTAAACAGTGAAGTGCAAATTTGTTGAATAAAAACTGATCTCTTGGAGTTATGTTTTGCAATGTTTTAGCAGAGGGACTTACAAATGAGAAGTACAGGTAAAGCAGGTATTCAGAATGAGCCCTTTGTTCCTGGAGTTCTAATGGAACTTGTCCTTCATTTTGAATTAGAAGTATTGAATTTGATATGCCTAAGAGAGACCTGTAGTATTTAATTAAATCTAGTTCCTTCTTAGTTGAACTATCTGCATTCTCTCAGTCAGATACAAGTTACTTGTGTTATCTGAGGGCAGGAGGGGGCAAGATATCTTGTTCTATAATGGAAAAAAATGTGCAAACATTACCAGAAGTTGTTCAGAACAGTTGTGCTATGCTATGGGCAGAATCTGTTGCCTTGGGCCTTCTTGTTCTGTACATGCTCTGAACTTCACAAGAAAAAGAAATCAAAAGCAGAACTCTTGTACAGAGTGCTTTTGCTGGAAGCCTTTTGGCCTGTCCAGTCATGAAGAAGAAGGGTCATTCTGGAAATAAGCAGCTGTTGGTATTAGTAATTTTCTTTTTTTTTTTGTAAGATCATTTTCTTTCTAATGCATGTACAAGGGTTTCTCTGGAAAAATGCCTCCTGTTTTATTATGTTGGCTCAGAATGACAGAGGCAGATGGTGGTGGTACGGCAGAAGAGGATGAACCTTCCCACCAATATTCCATCAGATTTTGTTTCCATGTAACAAATGGCAGTGAAGAGGCAGTCTCACAAAATGGCGTTTCACATGGAAGTGCAGATGAAGCACTGTATGGCATTGAATTCCTTCATGCAGAAAAAATGGCACCCGCTGACATTCATTGATGCTTGCTGAGCATTTGTCTAGGTGTTGTAGTATTATTTTCTGATACATCCAACCAGTGTAAGCACAGTGAGGCAGCAAGTGGTACATTTCAGCAGTGGTGACTGGATCAACTTAACTGGTACAGATTGTTATGAGCATGCAGGCTGTTGTTCATTGCTGGTGAAAATGCATAGCTAATGGTGGTGATTGGAAAAAAATGTTTTGTGACTGAGGATTTGCTCTATCGAGTAGCTTTCTTGTGCTCCTTGTATCTGACATAGTTTCCATCGAAATATTTAGAGGAGGCGTTATTTTCAGAGCAACCTACGTATTTCTGTCATTGAAATTAGTATTCTCACCTGAGATAAACAGTAGTCTTCTGTGCCATGGGTCTCCTGTCATCATTTTGTGGTACTGTGGCTCGTATGCTAGGTTACTAGGAACTGTGTATGTGCTAACATGACATGCAAGTTTGTGGTTTTTTGTTTTTTTTTTTTTTGGTCTTTTTGTGTCTTCTGTAGTAATAGGACTACTTCTTCCATTAGAAGTGATAAAATGTATGCAAAGCTGAGGGGTTTTTTTACACTGAAAATACTCCTGAAGAAATCCTACTTAGTGCTTCTGTTTTGACTGATCAGAAATCTGAAGAAGAAAGACTTTGTAACTAGGTAACAGGCATTCATACCGTAAGCTGGTAAACCCAACCATTTGGGAAGGGTGGGGATACATGTCTCCTGAAGATGACTCATTCTGACCGATATAAGTGTTCACATGGGTAGATTTCATGGTTTGTGCAGCTGTATGTCTGTAGCATGCTGCATAGTTAGACTACATATTAGGAGCCTGCTGTTAAGCTGCACATTCCTTATGAGGAGGTTGGAGGGAGAAGACCACGAATAAGCTGACTGTCAGCAGGCTAAGTACCACTGACGTTTTCTTCCCCTTGACAAGAATTGGAGATTTTCATCGCTGTGCTGCAGCAGTAGTAGGTTCACATTGGACAGATCTGTATTCAGCACCTCGTACCTGAGACACTGAATCATCTGTAGACTGTGCTGACTATATTTAATTTCTTTTTAAATTATTGTTCAAATAACTTGTGTTTGCTATGTACCTCTAAAGTCAATGGTTAAAGTATCATGTCCACTCATTTGCGTAGAAGAAAAAGAGGCAAGTAACTGCACTGTTTTTGGGGACAGGTGGTAGTTCTGTTACTTTTCGGTGGGCCTGCGTGACTGAAGTAGCAGATTCAGCAAAGGAGGTAAAAGCCCAGAAGAATAGATGTGCAGAGCCAGGTGGAAAATGTACCTTGATCCTCTAAAGAGAAGGAAGAAATACTTCCTGTATGAGCCAAACTTCAGTCCTAGAACAAGGAAAATTAGAAAGTGTAGAAAAGAATGAAGGTAAGAGGAGGAAGGAGGATAGCAGAAATTCACAGCTGAAGTGTTGTAACTGAAGAGAAAATCCTACAGTGAAATCTTATGGTTGACTTTCTTGCTGAATGATTTAGATCCTCCTGGAGATTCATTTAACCAGTCAAATGATTTAGATATGTGCTTTGTTTCAGTTTGAAACTTGTAGTAAGTGCCTCATCAGGGGAGAGTTCGTAGCCAAATGACAAATGCAAAATGTCATTTTAGTACAGTATGCCAACTATTACGTGGATTTTTGTGTGTGTTTTTGTTGTTACTTCTTTTTAAAATAAAAATAGAAAGCAATGTGTGCGAGTACGAGGAAGACAGAGTTAAACATTTTCTTGCTAGACTTTTTATTGGTACATGGAGAACATTGTCTTAGGCTAAGTGGTCAGTGTAGACTTTGGTCTTTTTGTTATTGATGCCCAGTTCACTTTGTCAGTTAATATGTTAACTTTTCATAGGTGGTGGTTTTGTTAAGAAAAAAGCTAGCACTTCACTGAATTGAGAAGACAAAGACATATATATGTGTGATTATATATGTTATTATATATTACTATTCTTAGGTAATACATAGAACCAAGAAAAACTAAAATCAAAGGAATCACTACTTTTCCAGAAGAATGCACAACACTTTAAGACTGTGGCCTACAGCTATGGAACTTGTGTGATTTGTTTTATCGTATTGTTTTATGGAAGAATTGATTTAAAATGAACAGATTATGGTTTTTTTATACCGCATTCTAATGTTTGAAGACCTAGGCAATGTTAAATAATAGAGAAAATCTGGATATTGTAATGCTGTTTACTGATACGTTCAAGCAATCATAAAGCAAATGGTTATTGAGTAAATGTTACAGATAAATAACACACGGTGATCTGTTCTAACTGGAAGCAGTACTGTAATAGTTACTTCTGTTAATGAGAAGATAGATAATTGCCCCGTACTTTTTCTTTCTTGAAAATACACGAATTGTTTTTGCTGTAGGCAGGATAAAGGCAAGCTGTTCAATATTTGCCTTGTAAATATTAAATGTTAAGAATTGCTTCTGTCTGGTTTTAAAGTATATGGAAGCCTTTCATTAGTGTATATATACTCATCTGTGGTTTTGCTTCTTTGCTTGATTATAACCAAGACTTTTTTCTTTTCTTCTTCAGGGAAACTGTATCAATCTGACCGATGCCTTGACTCTGTATGAAGAACAACTTAGTAGGCTTTACTGTCCTGTGGAGTTTTCAAAAGAAATTGTGTGCGTTCCCTCCTACATGGAATTGTATCCTTTAAGACTGAGGAAGTGTAGAGAATGTGTATTAATCAAGCAAGCCTAGATGGCTTGGAGGTAATGAACTTGAATGCAAAAAGGCATTTCTACCTTCAAAAATATGAATATAATTTATTCACTATGAAAAAAACCTGCGATTTTATTTTGAATATAATTGTAGGAACTATTTTCTAATGTGCTATAAATTCACAGGTAGTGAAATGATCACCATCTTTCAATATCAGGCTGTGTTTTTCTTCGTGTTTTCAAGTATTGTCAGATGTATTATTTATACAGTGTAGAATGTCACACCTAAAGTATGTAAGTATGAAAGGTGCTTCTTTTTTTCTTTAAGGTGTTTTTTTTTTTTTACTTTTTCTGACTAAATTAAGAACCTGATTTTATAGCAGTATAGGTACAAGAATACTAAAATAGTTATCTTGATGACTTCAGATTAGCCCAAAGTAAGATATGTGTTATAACTATTTTCAATTTTGACTTTTGATTTGATTTTGGACCTTTGGTATCCTTTTGTCTGTACTTTTATCACCTTTCTTGAAACTTAAATTTCCATGCAGAAGGTGGCATTTGTCCAGATTATATTTACGTGCATTTTCACAGATGACTGAGATGTAGAAATTTACATTACACTTGTGACAGTAATTAAAAAATACAGATTTTGTATCTTTCTTCAGAAAATGACCATGTGATGTTCATTTAGATTCATGAAACCTGTTGAGCAATTGAATGAATCTTTTGACTTAATACAAATGCTTATTTTTGTAATCTGACAGAAAATTAGCTGTATGAGTACCTGAATGCAGCCAAAATGCTGAGCAAGTTTATCACATTTTACTGTTACATTTTCTTTGTCTACTTCCAGAATAGTTGTGTGTAATTGCTGCTTGAAATTCTGGTACTTACCAGTGTTGCTGTGTGGCTCATCTGAAAATGAAGTACCTATTGACATAAAAACAGGTTTTATTTTAAGGAAAGCGTATGTGTCCATGAGGTCTCTACCATGACCCTGTAATGAACATGCAGGCTCCCATCTGGAGAGTGTGTGACCTCGCTGTGTGAACAGGAGAACATATGTCTTCATATGAGTTTACTTTGGTTATGTTTTAAATTCCAGAAATCTATGACTTAACTTGGCTGCTGTTGCTGTAGTTTTAAAAAAGGGTGATGTCCATGTCTCATGCTTTCATCTGCTCATTTGGAAGCTGGTGGAATTACGTAACTCTGATTTCTCATGTTCTTAGCATAGCAAGAAGGTTCCTGAGGATCAGTTTTCCTTGTTGACAGAAGCATCTTCAGAGAATCATGGCTTGAGCATACCTACTGAATGTCTGTGTTGAAGCTGGGTCCTTCTCCCACCAGCGGAGCAGCAGAGATTACTGACACAGATCGTAGTTGCTTTGTAGTTTCTCCTAGCTCAGTCTAGGTGATAGAAAGTTCTGCTTTTTGAAAAGTATGAGGCCAACATCACAGAAGCTTATAGAGAAAAGCCTAGGCAAAATCTAGATGTATCTATTCAAATGAGCATTCAGCAGAGCCCTAGTTGAGGCATTCAAGATGCAGTAGGCAGTTAAATGTTTGCCCAGTAAGATATTTGGACACTTAGTGTTCAGCTCCTGAGCATTTTGTTATTAATTGTGTCTGGTCATGTCTGCGATAGGAATTCACAAATTAGTTAGCTGGATGTTACCTTCTTGTTGGAGCTTCTTACTTAGCTATCAAGGTGAGTGATAGGGATCCCAATTTGGTGATGAGAGATCTGAAGTTTTAGTTGCACTTCCTGATGTACTTCTGTAGTTTGTTCAGCAGTTGCAGTGCATAGTGCACAGCCTGAAAATCTGCAGCAAGGATTAGAAAATGGTTTGCAGAGGATTTTACTGTCAGGGGGACTGGGGTATCAACTGCTGAGCAAAAAAAAAAAAGAGAATCCAGAGAGATTTCACTTTCAGAGTTATCTACCTCCTTTCTGTGAACTGTGAGTTTTCATAATTGAAAGATAAGTGAAAAGAGCTACTTTCATTTTAACTTTATACTACATCATTTTGTTGTTGTGGGTTTTTTTTCCTTGACTGCTTATTTTCTCCAGGTGGGTGTTCTACACTATTTGGAAGAAACAAACTGAAGTCTGAACATCAAGATTATTCTAAATGTACATGCTACATGAAGCATATAGGCCTGCGACATGGTGCATATTGGCATCTGGAACCTTTAAATTATATGCTGTAGATGATCCTGAAACTTAGTCATGCTATTGATTGTGAATTCTTTTAAATGTTTTTTTTTTTTTTAATTGTTATTTTAATTTAAAAGCAAATGAAAAATGTATATTTTGATGAGCTAGGGTGTTATTTTTGAAAGTCAACTTAAAGATGAGTAAGCAGCAAAACTGTGTAGCTGCTGAATGCACTGAACCTTTAGAATGTGATCCTCTTTAGTTTTTGTAGATCTTCACAAACTTATTGATTAAAAAAGACATCTTGAGCATTTCATCCCTGAGGGTGGTCCATGGAGCTTGCTTTTTTTTTGTTTATTTTTGACCAGATTATTTTTTTAATCTGTAGTGCTTTTGATGACGGAGGGCTTTTTTTTGGTAGTTCAAATTTGATACTGCAGTGTTTCTGCTTAGAGAAGACAGGCATAACAAAAAAAAGAAAAAGGGGTGGGAGAGTGGAATGGGACCTCCTGAAAGAATACCCCCACATTCTTCATTGGAAAGGGAATAAAGCTAGAAAGCTGATTTTAAACTTTATTTCCTGTAGTTTCATTCATTCATCATATTGCTGTCATCTCTTCTGCAGAAGAGTCCTTGACCTTTCACCTCATGGACATCTTTAGCTGCTGCCCTACTGATTATTTAGATTTTGATATGGATGTGAAAGTAGTTTATAGAGGTACACTGTCAGCATGAAAATTAAGGCTGATATCTCACTACAGTGCAAGAAATTAAGTGTATTAAGGTTCTTGTGATCATACATTCCTCAGCCTTATGGGAAACACCAGCTTCTTGAAGAAGGAAAGCTCACTTAACAAAAAAGAAATGGGGGTGTGATCTAGATTTATGTGCACCAGTATTTCGTACAAGTTTTGGAGCAAATAGATATGCTTCAGTAGGGTAAGTCCAGCTTGTATTTCTCTAGCCTGGCCACACTGTGTGGGGCTCTTGCTGAATTATTCACTTGCAATTTAAAAATCTGGAAGTTAGGTTGCATTGTAGTTTTGTTCTGGAAGAGAAAACATTTTTCTTAAATTGTTTATCATGTTGTCATAAAAGTTATATTTTTATAAGAATGTTCTTATGTACTAAAAGTTTGCTTTCAGTGTTTAAAAGATTCCACATCAGAGGAGATAGGAAGGACGTAAACATTCTGTACATTTCTGTACATTGCCAAGACAATATAAAATACACTATCTCAAAACACATAATTATGTTTTCCTTCAACACCTAGTTTTTCTTTTTTTCTTTTTTTTTTTGGGGGTGTTTTTTTTCCCCCCCCCCCCCCATAACCAAAATGATACTGTTCATGGAAAAAAAAACACACTCTTAGGATCTGTACTTATAAACCATAAATAAGGAAGAGTTTTGCTGCATTCCATATGCATAAACTGAATTGATGAAATTGGTGTGATCCATGTGGAATTTCAGAGGAATACTGGAAAAGCTGGTAAAAATTTGCCCTTTATTTCGTATGTACAGTTGTACTGTTACACTGCTTTCAGTTTGGAGAGCCAAGGAGAAGTGCTCTACTAGTCTTATTGTTTCAAGCAATTCTAGCTGATGCTGATTCTTAGATAAATGTGGGTCACAGCTGGCCTACAACCTGTGTATCCCAAAGGACCCCCAAAGAGAGCAGATCCTCCTTTGGAGCAGGAGGAGAGAAAAGTGCTGAATGTTTTAGCTCTATTTTAGCCATCCCCTGTTAGTGCCTATGACCTAGTAGTAACTCTTCATTTATGATACAGGACCACAGTCAGTTTATTGTGCAGATACAAACAAATGCACATGTCTTATAAGCAGTCACATGTACCCTTATCATGGCACACATGAATATTCCCAGTGATCCTTAGTGATGTAGGTGGTATTAAGCACACTAAGACAGGGCTTACAGCATGTTTTCCAGAGTGAGCTTGGTAGATCTAGAAGTCAGTCACAACAAGTAGGGCTGGGTTGTTGTTTTTGTTTTTGTTTTTTGTTTTTTTAGCAAAGACACTTGCGAACTGGAAGATGACTTAGTATGCTTGCTGTATCAAGGCTAGCAGAGATGTTTCCTGAACACAGAACTGCTGTGTGTGGAGGGGTGTTCTGTAATCCCTTGTCATGACCGGGGGACTTAAATTAGGTGTTCATAGGTAAGAGTCAGCAGTGCTTTCAACTGATAACAGCAAAGAAATTTGGGGGATTTTTTTTTTTTTTTTAACTTTCTAATGTAGGATTTTTAAAGTGATAGATGTAGTGTGAAGCAATTCGGCCAACACTGAATATTACCTTTTATTTTTAAGTTGCTGAATTGATTCTGAGCAAGTATATATACACTGTCAGTTTTTATTTATTTGTTGCTGTAGTATAGGGTTGTTTTTTTTTGTTTGTTTGTTTGTATTGTTCTTTAAGAGAAGGAAAATAAACTGCTTTTTGTTAGAATTTTCAAAAGCAAACTTCAACAGCTGTTTGGTTTTCCATGTTTAAGGCCAGTTAGGAATAGCTATCATTGCTGCATTATGTATGCAAACGCTTCCCAACATACAGTTAATATTAGGGCTTTCTGAATTATTCTTTGCACAAAATGCTGCTTCCACCTAGAAATGTGACTTAGATACTTAAAAACTTGATGATAATTTGTGCAAAGAACAGACTTCTGGCTTTGTATCTACTGCATCAGTGCAGTGCACGTGTTGAAATAAAGGTACGCTATTACTGCTTGTGTGTGTATTTTTAAATGCATTGTGGATTCAGGGCTAAAGTGGCAGAATTAATGGGTATGGTGCTTACCATTGTACCTTTTTCATTTGTCACCTAACAAATATAAAGGGACAGTGTGGTCATTTTACTATCTTTTTTTAATAATCGTAGAATGGTTTGGGTTGGAAGGGGCCTTAAGGCTTATTAAGCTCTAACCCCGTGCCATGGGCACGGCTGCCCCCCCCCACCAGCTCAGCTGCCCAGGGCCCCATCCAACTTTGCCTTGAGTGCCTCCAGGGATGGGGCACCACAGCTTCTCTGGGCAGCTGTGCCAGTGCCTCACCACCTCTGGGGAAAGAATTTATTCCTAGCATCTTAAAACTGTCTGTCTCTCAGAGATGATTCAGTTCAATTATTTTCCATGTAATACATGCTTGGGTAAAGTGCGGTGTGGTGTGGAACAGCGCAGTGATGTTTGCAGTGCGGGGGATCACTTCAAGGTTCAGTGATTTTTCTGTAGAAAAAAAATGAATTTGCTGGGGAGCTCTGTAGATGTTAATTTTTTGGAGATCTGTAATCTGTTTCTTAGCTTTTCTGCTGAAGTGGCAAGTTGGCTTTGGGTGGTATTGTGACTCATTGCATAGCAGAGAAAGTACAGAAATGAGACATTAGGAAAGATGCAAGATTTGGAACAAGTTTAGGAAGGGAAAGAAGAGCTTGAACAGGATGGGCAAATTGAAGTTGTTAGTTTGGGCTGTGATTCAGAAAGATTATTAATGTCATACAATGAAAGAAGAATGTGATTTCAGAGGAAGAGATTTACATAAATTCCAGCTAACTGGGAAGGGCATGTGCATTTGTCTCAAGTATGAAAGAAGCAAATGACTTGATAGTTAGGGAAAAGAAAGGGGAAGGTTGTAACTTCTTAAGAAAAAGTGTTGTGTACAGACATTGAGGGAAGGAAATGCAGTCATTTTAGGTGCCCACATGCACAACAGGGAAGATAGTTAGATGTCTCTTGCATTTTTATTTTTACCATTTGGGGTTTGAGGTGTTGACAACTTGCTGGAAGGAGTAAGGCGCTGGGACAAATGAGAGGGGGCAGAGTGCTCTGTTTCTTAGTCTAAATTAGAAGTAGATCTCTGATAATATTGCCTGAGGGCAATAGGAGGAAGTAGATAAAGCCCACAGAGAGAAAAGGAGTGTTTGGGATCTTTGAAATGCTGAAGGAGCAAGGGAGAGAAGTAGCAGTAAAGGAACAGAGTGCAGGGGTGATTAATAGCACAGAACAGCATAGGGCTGCCTTTTGGGAATGTGAGCAGTTAATCCTTGCTTTAGGAACCAAGTGAAGAAATTCATATGGTGTTGATACATTTGAGTCGATGTGAGCTGCAGTGGTAGAAATTGGAAGTAGGAAGGAAGGAAAAGAGTGAAATGTGCTTTGTGATTGGAAGCATGATGAGAAGTACATCTGTGCTGTGTTGCAAAAAGGGTTATGGCAAGTGAAGAAAGGATGCAGGAGCAACAATAATTAATATGGGAAATGTTTGGGGGGTAATGAGCCAAGAGAATGAACTAGCAACAGGACAGCACAACAAATATCACAGAAAGGGAGAGCACGTGTGCTGGTTGCACTGCCTCGTCTATGCTCTGTAGGTACTGGAGGAAGGGAGAGAGATGTGAGATGCAGAGTGTGGGGCTTGTACTCTATTCTTTTTTAAGGAAAAATGACAAAATGACTTCTAAGTACTCTGCGAGAAAGAGAACGATAGTACTGGAAATGAAATGGTGATTAAAAAGAAACTGCTCAGAATAAGATAGTATTCAATGCAGACAAATTACCCAAGCAAATAAATGGAAAATTAATAGGATGTGTAGCATGTGTGAGCATGGAATGATCGAAGGCAGGAGCTCTGCAGTGGCATCTCTGCTGTCTTCAGCTCAAGGAATTGGGAAAATGAATCTGAAATAGTAGGGGTATGAAAACAAAACAATAACCAAAACCAGAAGTGCTGCTAAGATTTCTACAGGGTTTTTCTTTTGACTTCAAAGTAGAGTGACAAATTCATTGCATGTAATTTGAAAGATTTTGAAGTTTCATGACGTCAGTGAGCACTGCACAACACGTAGTGCCATATTGCCTGTGGAGCACTGCTAGTATGATTCACTTTAACCAAAAGATACAAACAGTATATTGATGTATAATGGAAGCATTTTAATATCTGAATAACATTTGTATATACAAAGATGAGCGTCAGTGGCATCATAAAGCAAGAGTCTTAGAGCTGAGACTAGCAAAGCAAAGCCATGTGAAGCCTTTGCTGGTTTTGGTAGCTGCTAATGTTATCTAATACTTCCCTATTTGACTTGATTCTTTAGTTAATTATCAAAACTGATGCTTCCATTTGTTTAAATGAAAGTATTTTATTCCATGCCTTGTCCAAATTCTGCTTACACTTCATACTGGAATATCCTGGGAAGTTACTTCTTAATGATTAGTTTCTCTTGAAGCACTTTTATGTATTTTTTATGACTTTTTGTAACCACTGGTTAGTTATTTGGAATGAAAGGATGACTGCAAATGAATTTTTCAGGCAACAAGTTCTTGGCGGTTCATCATTTAAAAACACCTGTGAAGACTAACAGAATAATAAGTGGAATGAACATTAACTGCTATTTTTTAATAAGATAACATCCTTTTTGAAGATTTTACCTGTTATGTTAAAAAAAAAAAAAAAAAAAAAGTAGTTTCTTCTGACTTTATGACATTCTTACTGTATGTATAACAGTTAAATACTGGGAATACAGGGAAGGTATCTGTAGTTGGATTTGAGGCAGTCATGTGTCTTA